GAGAGAGAGAGAGAGAGAGAGAGAGAGAGAGATTAAACATCACATCTTTTTTGTCACTTCCATTATGCAGAGGCAACCAATGTGCTTTTGGGACTGCTTCCCATCTAGAAACCGCTGATTGAAGAGCATGGCTACTGCTGTACCTACCATCACCAAAACTATAGTCCAGTTTTCCTGGTGACAGTGGTATAGCCATTTCGGCACTCCGACCTAGTGTTCCTGCCGTGATCTTCTCGTAATACCAATCATCAATCCTGAGGCGAAAAACTTTCCTTTCGTTTTTCGTGAGCTTTCTCTTCATTGCTTTCTCAAAGTCATGTCTGTAATCTGGCGATGTAAGTATGATATGCAATTAATAACTCATTATGTAGCCACCGACTGGTCTATTAGTGGTGTTCTCTGTAGAGCACTTTAATTCACATCACTATACTATAGCTCTTTGTCCATCCTCTCTATTACTGCATGCTAACAATTAAGCCAATCACGATGTGAGACTAATGACAATTCACTAATACATCGGTCTTACATTGCAATATGTGACTGTTTCTTGGAACTAGCCAGCCATCAACTAACAATAAACGCACCTGATATTGTAACCATGTCGACGTCAATATTGCTGATGTCCAGTGAATGCAGATACATGCTCAAAGACTTATCAAACTGAAAACAAAACAATTAAATTACTATATAATTTTAAGATTTTTAGTGATTACTCAATATTTATCTATCTATCTATCCAATCATGTCCCATTCCATCAAATAATGAAAGTGCAAAATAAGATGGATGGGTGGGCTGGCGTGCACAAACGTGAGGCACAAACTAGTTTTCCCAATCTCCTCAGCATATCAGGCTGCATGGTGAGAATTAGATACATATATATATTTATATTATTAAGAACTAATAACACCTATAATAGGTATTATAATATTAGCTCTTGATGTTATACAATAAATCTATATTATTATACTATTTATATAGGACCATAATCCATTTTAGCGATCAGACACGGGCCTACAAATGGCTACATAGTGATGCTGAGAGGGTCTATGTCCCCCGGGGTACTGCCGGAAGGTACCCTGGGTACGGTCTGGTACACCGGAACGTACCCTGGTACTATCTAATATGGCGGTACGTAACTCGCCTACTCCCCTAACGGGTAATGCTATCCCCCAGGCGTGGAGGGAGGTGACCGCAACGTGGCAGCACTAGTGTTGGGATAGTGTTAGAGTCAGGGTTAGGGTTAGGGTTAGGGTTAGGATTAGGGTTAGGGTTAGGGATAGGGATAGGGTTAGGGTTTTTGCATCATGATATCTGTCCCCACACCATAGATTAATTTTTGTGGAGCACAATACCTATATATAGCGCTCCGAGATATATATATTTAGTGTTATGGTTAGCGTTGGAGGTGTTGGAGTTTATCGCTGCCGGATGATTAATGATTTTGAAGTATACGTCAACTGTATCACGTGACCCTCCCTCCACGCCCGGGGGATAGCAACACCCCTCCACTAACGAGTCTAGGGAGTCGCCTACGCCTACTCCCTAACACTAACCCTATCCCCAGGGGCGTAGCCAGTATGTAGCACTGTAGGCCCGGGCCTACACTTTTTTTGGCCAAGTTCTCTTTTTTTTTAAAACACCCATAATTAAAACCCATAAGCTTGCTGGACGAGTTTAAGAGTCTAGGCAGGAAAAACTATTGAAATGAACGTAGCAAGAATATGGCTAAATTAGGTGACCTATTCTTCTGTCATCTAGGCTGTCATTTCTATCGCGTGCCGTTTCATTCAACACTCTCCCCGCCGAAAAAGACTAGGATCCGATCTTGTCAGTCTTTTAACATTTTAACTCGTTCGTAACACTATTTTAACTCGTTTGT